GGGTCATCTTTCTTCAGCTTGTCCAAAGTCTGCAACTACAGCTTTTAATACCCATTCAACACCAGTAGCTAAAACCACAAGTACCGATCCGACACCAGTTGCTACAGCTACAGGAGCTGATAATGGTGGGTTGAGTGACATCAGTGGTAAGATTAAGAGGAGGACGTGCTTTGAGTGTGGTGAAAAGGGTCATCTTTCTTCAGCTTGTCCAAAGGCTGGTACTACACCTTCAAGTACCCATTCAATTCCAGTAGCTACAGTTACAAGTACCAGTCCAATACCAGTAGCTACAACTACAAGCACCACTTGGATACCAGTTGCTACAACAAGCAGCACCAATTTGCCACCAGATGATACAACTACAGGCACCGGAGCTGATACTAGTGGGTTGAGTGCGAGCATTGGTAAGATTAAGAGGAGGACGTGCTATGAATGCGGTGAGAAGGGACATATTTCTTCAGCTTGTCCAAAGTGCAAGTTAAGCATGTCACCTGCAGGCAGTATCCCAAGTTTTTCCTATTAATTACGTTTAGGATAAATATATATGGTACTCTTTTCGAGTAGGTTGTTGAAAAGCCACAAGTTGTTAGTGAGTCCAATTTTGGGAAATTTTGTTTTCTCCATTTAGCTTAGTTTGAGGCAAAGATTTGTAAAACTGAGATATTTCTTTCTTATTGATAAGGCAGATTATGTTACTTGCTTGACCTCTCCATGTCAAAGCACATTGTGTTTCTTGTTAAAACTAAATGTAAGACGAGGTGACAAAGGGTTTGTAGTTCAAACGGTTAAGTGATAATGAGTATATTGATCCATGCATTCGAGGTCTTGTGTTTGAATCCTAAGTCTTGAAAACTAAACACTAGGCAATACTCGACATCGTGTCCACTCCAATCCTAACCTAACTTGTTTGAAATACGACGGCCGATCCAATCCTGTCCACCAAACGTGTCTTTTACTTCAGTGCAATGCTAGCTCCATCTTGTGTTCGAAAGTAATTGAAATGAGGTGGAGAAAGCGTCGGGTTTGGTTCAAAAGTATCACTCCAAGCGGGGGACAAACGAAAAAAGAACAACGTGCGAGTTGGGTATGTTCCATTTACTTTGACAAGTACGACATATAACTGGCTACCGCTATTTCACTTTGTAGTCACTAAATGGTTGAATGACCATACTTAAAGAACATATAACAATTCATGATACATTTTTTTTCTTATGCACGTCCTTATTATTTATGCCCCTTATGTCCCTTAATTTTTCTTTGTTATGTTCGATTCAAATGATAAAAATCATTTGCCTAGAAGAAAATAAAAGGTATGCGTACACCAATTCCCTGAGTGAATCTCAATTGGTAGTGTGTAAAGTAGAAGATTTCTATTGATAGCGAAATAAATAATAGAAAGACCTTCTGAACTTAAACACGAGTTTTGATTCAGTTTTAATGAGGCATGTGTAATACGTGTTATTGAAGACATTAAGAGACCAAAAGTAACGGTGAAAAGGGATCACGTGCAGTGCACATATTATTTTTGGATAGAAGTTTGAAAATGATTAGTGTTAGGTTGACACATTCGAATATTGAAAAATCTATCAGCACCTGTCATAAGTAACAAATTAAAAATTTGTTTGAAGTAAGACATGTGTATTTTAAAGATATAAATGAGTCAAAAATACCCTTCAAATGAAGCCGTCTACAATGCGCATACTTTTCTTCTCAAACAAACTCGACATTGTAAATTAATTTTTAACAACGTGTTGTATATTTCCTGTTTCTTGTTTTAAAAGTAATTAACTTTTAGCATGAAATTAAACAAAACAAAACATGATAAGTAGGCAACTGCTCGTTCAACAACCAAGTCTTATTACGGCCAGATGTTTTGATAGTACATCACGTTTTTCGTGATGATTGTCTCCTTTACATGTCTAGTTTGAATCATCTTTGTCACAACTTGGAATTTATGTATATGATCAAAATTTATTACATAAAATGATGGATATAATTTGGTTAATTACGCAAAATATATTATGATGAAGTATGTATTAATAGGGGTTTGAGTGTTTTAATTGACAAATAAATCATTCAGATATAGCATAAACTTTGTTATTGTGTACATCGTAAATGAGAAGGTGTTTAGCTCAAATAATAGTAAAAACTTATTATGGGTTGGCTTTAAGAGCATTTTTACTCATATATTAAGAGGTCTCGTATTTGGATCTCTCTCATGCATATGAGGTCTTGAACAAGGTCAAACGCTTTTCTCTAATTATTATTCACTCATGCATTCGAGATTTTGTATTCAAAATATTTAAAATGAGACAAGGCTTGGAACTGCATATTGCAGGATGCAATTTTTTTCTTCCACTATTTTAAAAGCTAGTAACTAAAATACAATGAATCTAATTTGGTTAGGGCTGGAGTCCAACCCGAAAGTACATCAAGGATTAAAGAACGTCTTAAAGCTCGCCTCTTTGCTTTCTTAAAAAGAAAAGTGGACTATGCAATAAGAGGCTCAACCATAAGCCTGAGGCATAATAAAATCAGTATGAGTATATTTATTAATATATGTACAATTGTTTTATTTATGATATAAAATATGTAAATTCTCAATTGGTAGGGTGTTAAAATAGAAGGTTGTATGTAGAAAGAAGCCTCTTGGCAAGGGGATTTTTGCTTCAGTGATTAAGAGTATCCACCTTGAATTCAAGGTTTCGAGATTGATTTTTATTTTAAGTGAGGTATGCACATCACTTTTTATTAAGATATTAAATCAGCCCATTCCCTCAAAAAGAAGTCACTTGCATTGCACATGTAATTTTTGTACAAACCTAATGTCAGGAGACACGTTTTAAAGACTGAAAAATCGAGGCGGGATCTCTTCTAAACTTTTCTTTAAGGTAATAGGTGAAATTTGTGTTTGAAATTCCTTTTAAAAAAAAAAAACTAATAATTAAGATTTTCCAAACACCAAAATTATCATAGTTGAAAAAAATTAACCTCCTTTTCTACTTCTCTATGCTATTTTGTTGGTGAAAGAAACAGCTTGGCAAAGAATTTTGCTGCCTAGTTGGTCAAGAACATAACCAAGTTCAATTTTCCTTCTTCTAATATCTCAACCGCTTGAACTTCTACAAAAAAAATTTATGCGTTTTAAACAAGGCATGTGCACTACGTGTTACTGAGACATTAAAAGAATAAGAATTCATTTGCATTGCACCAGTAACTTTTTGAATGGACCTAGCATCAGATGACACGTTTTGAAGACGGAAAAACCGAGGTGAACTCCCACTCAAATTTTTCTTTAAGGTAACAAATTGAAATTCGTCTCTATAGTTTTTCTTTTGAAAATCTAATAATTAAGATTTTCCATACCCAAAATTATCATAACTATATTGCAAAATCTTCTTTTAACCTCGTTAATTTTCTTCTTCTTCTTCTTATTTTGTTGGTGAAAGGGGTTGTCACTTAGCTGCTTAAGATCATCATTCTGCACCTGAGGTCCCAACTTCGATTCTCCCTCATCCAATATCGTTTGGTTAACCAAAAAGAAAAGAAATTGTCTGAACCATTACATGAATTTTGATTCATTTTAAGTGAGGCATGCACGCCGCGTGTTATCAAGACATTAAAACCAGTTGATTCCCTTGAAAAGAAGTCACGTGCACTACGCATGTAACTTTTTTGAATTAACCTAGAGTCAAGTGACACGTTTCGTATGCGGAAAAACCGAAGGCGAAATCTCTTTTAGATGTTTGTTTAAGGTAACAAATTGAAATTCGTCATTATAATTTCCTTTTGAAAATATAATAATTAAATATTTTCCATACACCAAAATTTTCATAATTGCAAAAGCTTCTTTCAACCATTTTTTTTCTTCATGTTCTGTTGGTGAAAAGGAAAAGGGTAAATCGTCAAAATGGTCCATCAGATTTGCATAATTCATCACTTTGGTCCCTGAGATTCCAAATCGATAAAAGTGGTCCCTAAGATTGTCCACCATCCATCATTTTGGTCATTCCGTTAAAAACTTCGTTAAGTGTTCCGGAGCTCTTGGCCGGAAGTTTGGGCAATTTTCAAAGCTTCGTAACTCAATCGTTTCTTAACCAAATTCGACCCATAATATATCAAAATGAAGATACGAAAGTGTAGAATAAGATTATACCTATTTCAAAGCCCAATGGTTGCCGGAGATGGCCGGAAAATAGCTTCAAAGTTGACTGGTCCGAGTGAAAACTTGAAAACTCGCCGGAAACTGCGTAAACTTTAAACGTTCATAACTTCTTTAATACTCAACGAAATCAAGTGATTCAAAAATGAAAATCATACTTCTCGACTAGATGAAGAGAATGGTATCTTTTTAGCGGCTAACTCGCCGTGGTTTGGCCGGAAAATGGCTCGAAAGTGGCTAACTCGATACCAAGACAACCACTTTCGAGCCATTTTCCGGTCAAACCATGGCGATTTAGCCATAAAAAAAAAAAAAAAAGAGGTACCATTCTCTTTGTCTCGTCGAAAAGTATGATTTTTGTTTTTGAATCACTTGATTTCGTTGAGTGTTGAAGAAGTTATGAACGTTTAAAGTTTACACAGTTTCCGGCGAGTTTTCAAGTTTTCACTAGGACCAGTCAACTTTGAGGCTATTTTCCGGTAATCGCCAGCAACCATTGGGCTTCGAAATAGTTATAATCTTATTCTACACTTTCCTATCTTCATTTTGATATATTATGGGTCGAATTTGGTTAAGAAACGATTGAATTACGAAATTTTGAAAATTGCCCAAACTTTCGGCCAAGAGCTCCAGGACACTTAACGGAATTTTTAACGGAATGATCAAAATGATGGATGGTGGACAACCTCAGGGACCACTTTTATCGATTTAGAATCTCAGGGACCAAAGTGATGAGTTATGCAAATTTCATGAACCATTTGACGATTTACCCAAAGAAAAAAGATATAATACATAGACACACAGAGAGCGAAAAAAGGAGGGAGTCGGAAGTCTTTCATCTCATGTCCAGAAACGTAAATATATATTCATTGTCTTTGCTGCATTGTATGCTCGCTACCAAACCGCGTCACTTGCAATCTCCAACCTTCTCCTTCACGTATTTTTCTTCAACTTATATATATTCTCACTGCATGCTTTGAAATCCAACAAAATTAAATATAAAAAAAAAAATTAACACCATTAATACCGCAAATATCACATGTATTTATACACAAAGCTACAAACTTTCATCCCTTTAAGCCAAACCATCTTCTCCCATACACAAACATCATGTTCTTTCTGTTCATCATCTCTGTTTCTCTCGCAGGCTTCAAATTTGAGGTTTCTGGCTGATGGGTTTTCTCTGAATTGTGTGGGATTCTTAATTCTTTGATTTTCTTGGCTGACAAACACTTTGGAGTTTGTTGGTGTTGCTTTTGAGTTTTTGAAATGGGACCCATCAGAGGGTCCAGGAAGAAGAAGAAGGTTGACCAGAATGTGGTAGCTGCTTCAGAATTCCAGCCCCTGGAATGTTGGTGGGACGGCTTCTCTCAGAGAATTACTGGTACAAATATTCTTCTGCTGCTGCTTCTGTGTTTTCGCATATCTTTCTACTTTGGTTGTTTTGTTGGTTAATTTGTTTTAATGGGTTGTCTTTAAATATATTCATTTATAATTGGTTTGGATATATAGGTTTGTTGTTTATGAGAGCATTTCTTATGATTTATTTGTATTTTGGATGAAGTATTAGGACTTGGGTTCAATGCAGTTTTCAGAAATTGGACATGTGTGTTGTGACTAGTGATTCATATCTGCAAGTGGATTTCTGGTGGTATATCTTACAGTCTTACAGTTCTTAGCTTCTGTTGATTTGTGTTATCGAGCTTTTGTTTTGTGTACTCGTTGATGTTTCTCACAGCATAGTATTCCTAGTTTGATGATTACTGAGGACATTGTTTTAGGTTTTATGCATTATTCCTTCCATTAAATTTATGGGTCGTACCAAGTGCACAAGGCTCCCGCTTTACGCAGGGTCTGGGAGAGGTGAATGTCGGCTAGCCTTACCCCCATTTATGGAGAGGCTGCTCCCAAGTCTCGAACCCGAGACCTACCGCTCATGGGCGAAGGCACTTGCCATCGCACCAAGTGTGACCTCTTCCTTCCATTAAATTTATGATGCCAATAAATAACTTAGTCAACGATTTCCTTATTTGTAATTCTCGTTGATAGATAAGTTATTGGTCATTTGTTGATTTCTTATTTTAATGCTTCTCTTAGACAATCCTGTTAGTGTTAATGATAGCAGTTTGTTCTAAGCATGTGTTGAATGTTTAAAACAGGCTGCATCTAGTTCTCAGTTACTAGAATGTGGTATTGTATTATGAATGTTCTTCATTTTCTTGTGCATTAAACTCAGTTCCTCATTGTGAGCATACCTGATCTTCAGATTAGATTCAGAATAACCTGCTTGTATCTCGACCGCTCCTTATTTAGTTACAAAACATTTAGTCGTACCCAGTGCATAAGGCTCCCGCTTTACGCAGGGTCTGGGAGAGGTCAATGTCGGGGTCTCTTGGTGTTAGATATTCCAGTGTCGTGCTACTGCCTAAGAACAATACTCGAATATGTTTGGATGGGGGGGGGGTCACTATGATTGGTAAAGTATCTGTACTGATTTCTTGATCCTAAATCTTATTGGAACTTTTGTGGTTAGCATAATAATTCTCTTCAGAGTACATTTTTCCTTTTGGACTGACCTAAACCAGTAAAAAGGTCGTACCCAGTGCACAAGGCTCCCGCTTTACGCAGGGTCTGGGAGAGGTGAATGTCGGCTAGCCTTACCCCCATTTATGGAGAGGCTGCTCCCAAGTCTTGAACCCGAGACCTACCGCTCATGGGCGAAGGCACTTGCCATCGCACCAAGTGCGACCTCTACTGACCTAAACCAGTACTGTAAAAAAATTGAAACAAAGTGAGTGGACTGATCCGAAAAACACTTGTAGGCGTAATGGCTGAGTAAACAATAGCAGACGAAGAACAATCAGGCACCTAGTGTTTTGTTTTGGTTGTGTAGTGGCCTCAGATGACATGATTAGGTTCGCAAATTTCATAGCTTAGTTGAAGAGCATCTTTTCTGATGATATGCTGATAGAAATTGGGCTCCTTAGACTATAGAGGTTAATCTATTAGTTTCAAGTTCTGTCAACTCGTAGTAGCTTTTGATTGTTTTGATTTCTTTGTTAAAAAACTATACAAACCGATGTCCTTAAAAGTGCAGACATCTATGTGCTTTCCTCATGAAATAAAAAATGCAGACTTCTTAATGAAGTCTTTCCAATTTCATAAGAGATAGCTTTCGTGATGAGCATATGTTTCTTCTTTTCTGCTATGTCAACCATTTAGGGGGATCCGTTGTGAGAAGCACTACGGTACCTTGGTCTGATTAGGTGGAAGAGATTAAGTACATAGCCACACAACTAAAGCTTGTTTGCTCACCATAAGATGAGCAACAGTCGTCCAAAATGCTAGCGTCTGTATGCTTATTTGGATAAAGTAGGTAGCCTAAACATTAAAAATGAAACAAAAATAGCTTTGAGAAGAACATGTTATAGGAGTTAAAGGCCATTCCATTAGGCGATAATCACTAAATAAGTTTGGGATCAAGTAAGAAGTAAAAAAAAAACAAGCAAGTCATCTGACTTTGTTTTTTGGTGTCCGTTTAGTGTCTAGTCTACAAGTGTGCACATTGTCATTTATTCATGATTTTTGTGTCTGCAGTCTTTCTCGTTAAGAAACATAGGTCCACCTACTAGTTGTGCAACCGAAAGGCATAAGATTTTGGCGATTTGATTATACCTTACACCTACCACTGAAAGATTAACTTTCCAGCTTTTGTATGTGAAATGTCTTCTATCTTATGATCTAGCTTTTGAAGGAAATATAGTAATTATGACGGCATAGTTCTCTCCAGTGGTTAAGGAGTTCAAATATATTTTCGGCTTTGCTTGCATTTGATGATTATTCAGACTATACTACTTCGCTAACTCTTGCGGTTAAATGAATTCTATCCTATTTGCATAGGTTTTCTGATCTTCTGGTTCTGCCATGGACAATGACATAAAGGTTCTAAAATTCACAATGATAAATGATTGTATTTTGTTTTCTACTTTCTAGGTCAATCGAAATCTAAAGGTGTATTGAAATTTGAATCTTTCTTCAAATTTTCGGGAAAGACATTCAGCTACATCTGTTCACTTGTAAAGGAAGATATGATGGCCAGGTCCTCAACCTTCTGCTACTCGAATGGCAAGCCTGTGTGTCTAAATGACCAAGTTGCTATTGCTCTTAGGAGGCTTAGCTCCGGTGATTCATTATGCAGCATTGGCGAGTGCTTTGGGATGAACCAGTCAACTGTCTCGCACATAACCTGGCGTTTTGTGGAAGTAATGGAAGAAAGAGGGCTGCACCATCTTTCCTGGCCTAAAGAGCAGAGTGAAATAGAGGAGGTAAAGTCCAAGTTTGAGAAAATCCGCGGCCTTCCAAATTGTTGCGGCGCAATTGACATCACGCACATCATGATGACTCTGCCTACAACCGACTCATCAGATGATATCTGGCTCGATGGTGAGAAAAACTGCAGCATGATCTTGCAGGCAATCGTTGATCCAGACATGAGGTTTCGTAACATAATTACAGGATGGCCAGGAAGTATGAGCGATGACATTGTCCTCCGAAGCTCAGGTTTTTTCAAGATGTCTGAAGAAGGAGATTGTTTAAATGGGGAGAAGTTGGTGCTCTCAGAAGGAACAGAAGTGAGAGAATACATAGTAGGAGATTCGGGTTTTCCTCTCTTGCCATGGCTTCTCACTCCTTACAAGGGAAGAGGGCTGTGGGAGCATGAGTCTGAGTTCAACAAGCGGATTTCTGCAACACAGATGGTGGCGCAAAGGGCGTTGGTGAGGCTGAAAGAGATGTGCAAGATAATTCAAGGCGTAATGTGGAAGCCGGATAAGAACAAGCTGCCGAGGATTATTCTTGTTTGCTGTATACTGCATAATATAGTGATTGATATGGAGGATGAGGTGCAAGATGAAATGCCATCGTCCCGCCATCATGAACCTGGTTACCTGCAACAAATTTGTGAATCTGCTGCTGACGATACGGCATTTCACCTGAGAGAGAAGCTCTCTCTATACTTTGCTGGAAAATTGTCTCGATGAGAAGACCCTTATGTGCATCATGGATGGTGGTTTCATTGGTTTGTACATTGACGAAATGTTCGATCTTTGCTAGTTGAAATTGGAGAGTTTAGAATGTTTGAGGATGCTTTCTTCTATTGAAACTATAGTCTTAAGTCTTAACATAGTTTTAATTGAAAATTTTGACTGCATCTAAATATGGTTCTTTAGCATTATCTATATTTAATTGACCGAAGAATGAATTTCCTTTGGTGCTTAGTCCATATCTGGTTTGAGAACTTTTTTTAGCGCGACTGTCACTATCACATTTGTGTTATTAATCTGTGTTATAATATGTGCGGACAAACAAGATTGACATGTCACGAACTTAAGCTATAATATTAATAAAGTTTATTCATTTATAACATGGTGGACAAATAATATTATGCAAGCTTCTCGGTTACGTGGTTCAAGGCCTAATGGAAATGAAACATCCCGGGACACTGCCATGGTTCAAGGCCTAATGGAATTGAAACACCCCTGGACAATGCCGTTTTGATCGTTCAGCTTTTTAGTTCGGAATTACACCAAACATATGACAATGTTAGTCCAGCTTCTTAGTTGGGCTATACACCAAACACAGTACAATGTTCTGCTTAGACCATGCCATTCTTGACATGGCATTACAGCAAACACAGAACAATGTCCTTCCGACTTACACCAAGCCAACACAATCTAACATTATTCCCGCAAGTAGTCCAGTCCAAGACAGTACATGCCCTAATGGAGGTTAATGGTCCTCGTTAGGTTTAAAATTAACGAGTTTGAAACACTTTTGGGAGAGAAACTTAAGTTAAAGTGTCACATGCTAGTCCGGCAAGTCACTGAGAAGTTATCACAAGTTGAGCTAACCCACCCACTTTCCCCCACTTTTGGCTTTAGTCAGCATTATGTTGACTCTTTCTTAGACACAATTAAAGACATTTCAAAGTGTTGGCCAGGGCTTCCACACAATGTGTAAAGTATCTTCCCACCCACCCCACCCCCCCCCCCCCCCCCCCACACAAAAAAAAACCACCCCCCCCCCCCACACAAAAAAAACAATATGTAAAGTGTTTGGCAACAAAAAGAGGAAAAAAAGAACAGCAAGATGCAAGCAGGACAAGAAGTGATATCCATCCACAAGAGGTACCAATAATCCACCAATTACAAGTCGAGTCATCGACGAAGTACAATACTAAACCAAATTGACGATCATAGGGCTATAAACATGTCGCCGGAAAAACCAGATCGTATAGACGACCCCCCTGTTGGACAGCTGATGCCTTACATTCAATTAGCGCGGCTTCTAATAACATCGAGACCCACTTCGGTCGGATCAGTAGCTTGCAACTCTACCTGAATTCCGTCCAACTCTCTCTTAAACCTGTCCTTCGAACTCGCATAAATCATCTTGCTTCTCACCTTCGCTGTATCAGGGGACCTTCAGGCATAAATCTTAAATGAGTGCAACAGCCAAGGAACATTAAAATGATATTTACATCTGGAATATAATCGATGAGGTCTAAAAAGCCTAGAATTCTGAACTCTTTTAAGTATTTAGTATTTACCAAGCGACGAAAACAATCCGGCTCTTCTGGCAGTTCTCCTCTGTCACGTAATCAAAGTCATAAACAGCGTATCGACACTCGTTAGCAGGGAGGCTTGCAGAGAAATCCTCGTAGCTGTCAGTTGGCTCACCAAGCTTTTCCACAATAACCCCATTTTGCTTCTCCTCAATCTTGTAAACTATGAACCGGTAAGTTCTTCTTGCCTTCAATTCCAGAAACTTTAGCTTGCATTCGTCATGCACAGCCATCCCGGATGCTGCATTTGCCTACAAAGATTCAATGGATACCAAAATGCATCAAATACCCACCAAGCATCGGCAGCAATTTCCAAAAGTTTCACCAAGCGTAACCATTTTGTATCCATCCCTCGAATTTACAGACCAATCGAAAACACACAGCAATACAACATCCCAAACATCCGAAAACAAAACACGCATTGCTAATACCAAACTAATCAACAAATCAAGCAATTTATAAATCACTGGCATTTTGTATCCATTTTGTTAGTGGTAACGGTGGTCCTCGAATTTAACCACCGTTACCACTAACAAAAGGGAAAATGTGGAACAAAATGCTAAATAAAGTCTTACATTTCTAAACTATTTTTAGCCACTACGTTAATCATATTTAAAATTAATCACATCCCAGTTCAAGGCCAAACGTAAAATTCAGGCTCAAATACCATCATATTTAGCGTCCAAAAATTCATACTTTTGTGATTGCAAAACAGAAAGTCCAAATACACAACATGCACTTATTGCAAAAATATAAAATCCAAATTAAAATGCACCAGCAACTGTAGAAACTCATCGAATCAATCGTGATCGGGTAATCAAAAGGGATGCGATTCGACCATCAACTTCTAATTACCCGCCAATTTCACGAATTTCTCACAGTCAAGCAAAAAAAATCAAATTCAAAAATATCGAACACCAAGATTTCACAGATTATACTACAGAGGATCATGAAAATAACTGAAATTATGATACAAGCAAGTGAAGCCCTAGAGAGAGAGAGCGAAGTATATGAAACGCTCACCATTTTCCCGAGAAAATATAGAGCTCCGAGAGGAGAGAGAGAGAGAGAGAGAGAGAGAGAGATGGATAGGCTCAGCGGTGGACGCGGAGGGCAGCGGGCAGCGTTGCTTATATCACCGTCACGGCAGAGAGAAATCGGGCGGTGATCCAACCATATTTGCACACGTGCTCTAAGTTGCGGAAGGGGAGAGATGGCATGTGATTTACGTAAACTAAAAAGGGGAGAGATCTTCTCCTATTGGATCTCTACATCTTAACCGTTCATTATATGTTAAGCTGTCAGTTTTCGTCAAGTACCAATTATGTTTCATTTTAAATAAAAAATATCAAATTATTTTTAACCGTATTATGTATGATGCATGGATAAAATGTATAGATCTTTAAAATTCTTGTAATTTGGATGGGATGCAAATCCAAGTAAAAGGGACACATAACATTTGGTTTTGCTTTCATAGGCTTGGCCCAAAAGATAGTTATTGGTCCAAGACTCCATGCAATTTTGGAAAAGTACCTTTTGTTCACGGACAGTATTTGTGTTTTTTTATTTATATTTATGTCGTATTTGTATCAACATATAAACAGTTTTATTTTTCCGCATCACTTTAAAGTAGTGGTAATGCATACCATTCTCCATATTATTAATGGATGAGGTTAAAGTTTGAAATTTGTATTTTTGCACGACACATATTTTGAAATTTAAACTAACTTAATATTAATAAATTGGATAGTAATGAGCAAAATTATTCTCATTACAAATGCAGAAAGATATAAAATAATGTAATAATACATAACTTATTATGAGATAAAAAGGAGGTTATTTTGTAAAGTTCGACACACGCATCTCTAATATTAGAAAGTCAGCAATCAATTTTGGTGTCTTAAGACTTCACCAAACAAATTTAGACAAAAACACCCTTGAAACAAACAAAAAAATCTACTACTAACTGAAAAATGCAATCAAAATAGCAAGGATACTTTTGTAAAAAAAAATAGAAACAAAACAGAATTAAAAAAATCTCTAATCTCTAATATAGAAAGCTAGCAATTAATTTTGGTGTCTTAAGGCTTCACAAACCAATTTCTCGTATATATGAAGCAGCTCATAGAAAATACATTACAAATTATGACCATTACAAGCACAACTGACTTGTAATAAAATCCCTTTACGAGCAGAAGTACTTCTTATAAAAATAATTTCAAACAATTAATAAATTAAAATTCAGAATGTATCGCTTCATCAACGAATATTTCGGTTGAACTATCTTTACTTAAATCTTGATTGGATTCAAATAGCGCTTTCAAATTGTAAGGCGCAGTGAAATCGGGAGTTCCACTCCAAAAGAGTTTGGCTGACTGCTCGTAGGCCATCTCAGTTGGATGAGCAGAGTCAAAGAAGAGATGGTCACTAACATTGTCACACAAATCGTACTCTTTGACACCTCTCCTTCCTCCACAACTATAAACTCCTCGATATGGACCACTGCCGCAACATGCCACCTTCCCTTCCTTGAAACCTTTGCCAACAATATCAAAAAAAAAAAAAAGGAAAACTAATGAAAAGGGTTTGAAAACTTTGAGTTTTAATGATAAGGACAAAATAAAGGGTAAAGTGAATAGTACCAGGATTGATTTTTTAGTGTAAAAATGTGGTTTTTCGTTAAAGTAAACAGTACCGGGTGCTTTTCGTTAAAGTTCAAAAAAAAAAAGGAAGTGATTATTCATTTCCGAGTTCTAATTGAATAATGTAGAAAATTATAGAAATAATTACATTCTAATTAGTAAATAAGTTGCTTTTTCATGAAAGTTTCATCTTAAGATTGATTTTTTTAGGTAGACGACGAAGTTAATTTCAATCCAGCTTGAGATTATTTTACTCCAGTTTGAGAATATGGATGGTTTCGATCAATTAACGGGCTCAAAACCATCCATATTCTTAACAACAATGTACTGTATAAGAGAAAATTTTTGCCACTTATACTACTACTAGTAATATTCCTCTTCACTTGTCAGTGAGAGGTATATGTTCATTTCTGGCCAAAGACGAATTTGAATCACATTATTGCTAACATATTGTGAGGCTTAGCCCACCCCCACCCCTTAGACCATCTCCAACCCTTGGGTTAAAACCTAAAATTTTTAACCCAGAAAATTTAGATTTTATCCCAAAAATAGTTTTTCTCCTCCAACCCTTCTGGGTTAAATTTTTAGCCCACGATTATTAAAGAATGAATTTAAGATAATTTTTTTCTTAAAGTAACATTTAAAAAAAAAATTATGTAGATTATCCTAATTTAATTTTATGAACATTTTAACCTAAAAATATTTAGATTCCTTTAAATATTGAAAAATCACTAAACCGACACCACAAAACTAATGGAAAACTATGAAATAATATGAAACCCATAAAATAAAAATTTTAATTACTTTAGCCGTTAGATTTAAATTTGGACCATTAGATCTTTTTTTTACCGTTGGATTTGATCATTCAGACCTTAGCCGTTGGATTCAATGAATTTATAAATAAATAAAAAAACACATATATGGTGGGCAAGCCCCACTAAGACCATCTACAACCCTTAGCCTAAAACCTAAAAATTTTAGCCTAGAAAATTTAGGTTTTAACCCATAAACAGCTTTTATACTTTAACTCTTCTAGCCTAAAATTTTAGCCCCATATTATTAAAGAATGAATTTAGGCTAATTTTTTTTTTCTTAAAGTAACTTTTTTAAAAGAAAAAAATTATGTAGACTATCCTAATTTAATTTTATGAACATTTTAACCTAAAAATATTTAAATTATGACAAATACTGAAAATTTACTAACCGATACCATGAAACTCGTTAAACACTATGAAAAAATATGAAACAAATAAAAGATTTTTTTTAATTACTTTAGATATTAGATTTAAATTTGGACCATTAAATTTTTTTTTTACCGTTGAATTTCATCAAATTAGATCTTAATCGTTAGATTCAATGAATTTATAAATATAAAACTTATAAAATATACATATATGGCTAGCCAGCCAGCCCCACTAAACCTGGGCTAAATTTGGCTTTGTTTTAGGTTTTAGGTCCAATTTTAAGTTTGGGTTGGGGTTGGATTTTTTTTTTGGGGGGGGGGGAGGGAATAGAAGGGGAAAAATAGGTTATAGGCCAGAGTTGGAGATGGTCTAAATTATGGAGAATTCTGGGCTAAATTTGCCCCAAGGGTTGAAGCAAGTTGGGGTATGTTTAGAACCTAAAATTTAAGCTTTACTCCAAGAGTTAAAGTAGATCTTAGTGTAGAGAATATTGTTTGATAAAAAAAATTATTTTTAATTAGAACAAATAACAACAGGGGATTAAGAAAGTCGAAAACATACCATATTCAGAAGGGTGATCTATTCTTTGTGTAATAAACTTGTGAAAATCGGTAAGTGAGTATCTGAATCCCTTGAGTTCACTCTCTAGCTTTTCCAAGTGTTTATAAAATGCTTTATTGTGTAGTTCCACGTATGTTGCAAGTTCTTCATGGCAGCCATTATTTGGTCCAGCTCCAAGTGCTCTTCCGTACGGAATACAAGCAAGAGGGTAAAGGTTCATAAACCCAAAATTTCTTCCTCCTTCGTTATATATCTCCTACCACATCGAAATTTACATTTATTAGTACTATATATGCATATATATAAATATATGTGTGTGTGGTGTATAAAAGACCTCCTTTTTAAGGGGAATCATGCTACATTATAGCAAAAATAAGATACGTTATCACCCATTTAAAGTATAGGTTTTGAGTGACATATGAACAATGTTCAAGAGATATACTATACCGCTTTTATTGTAGTGCATTGGAATGCCCTACGAAGCTCTTATTATATGGATAATGCAACTTTTTTTGGGGAGTGGTAAGAATAATTAATGTACTTTAATCACTGAAGTTATGTTGCCGATCACCAGGCCAACAAATTCCTCACGGGAGTAGGATCTCAGCATGCTGGAATCTGTATCGAATGGGAAAAGGTAATCGTTGCTTCCGATGTTGGACAAGTAGACAGCTCGGGTCAGTAGAGATTTGGCTTCTTCATCCCCTAGTTTCTGCCTCAACGACTTCCCAACGTTCTTGAAATATGATAGTTGACAATGAAGATCTCTCCCCTGAAATACGATATTTGCAGTAAATAACTATCCAATTCAAATAGTGATGCAACTTGGATAGAAATATCAGATTTTGACTAATTCTGAGACGAGTAATTCTCCAAAATCTAAAAAAATTGGATAGAAATTGAAATGTATTTCATATTCTGAATTCGGTCCGAAATTTCAAAATTTGCAAAACTCTGTTACATGCACTTAACTATGTTCTTATTGATCGACCAAAAAAAACTATGTTCTTATTGACTTTGGATTTGTAATGCAGTGTACTCAAATATGTAACTATATTTTTTCAACAACTCCCTTGATTATAATATTACATACAAAAAAATGAGAATTTGATAACTGTAAAATTTTATATATGTAGAGAGCATAGACATGACATATTTTTTATGGAAAACTAATGAAAATGACTTGAAAACTTTGAGACAAAATAAAGGGTAAAGTGAATAGTACCAGGATTGACTTTTTAGTGTAAAAATGTGGTTTTTCGTTAAAGTAAACAGTACCGGGAGTTTTTCGTTAAAGTTCCTATTTTTTTATCCTGGTGTAGATGAATCATACAACTCCCATAATTTTGAAATCCCAAAATAACTCGATTCGGAAGGTACCGAATTCTGCATGAGTTTATGAATTCCGAAACTAAAAATGATATGCAATTTCGAAAATTTTTGGTGTATTTTTTATCCAATCCAACCAAAAATCAGGCCCACACATATTTAATGTACTCTTGCAATTTAGTAACTGAAAAATGTCTTTTGATCCAAAAAAAAAAAAAAAAAAGAGTTTTAACGAAAAATTCGTGGTACTGTTCACTTTAACGAAAAACCATATTTTTTACACTAAAAAGTCAAACCTGATACTATTCACTTTACCATTTATTTTGTCCTTATCGTTAAAACTCAAAGTTTTCAAACCATTTTCATTAGTTTTAAAAAAAAAAAACATATATCATGAATTAACTAAGTCGTTCGTTACGACTCTAAATAAAGATGCATCAAAGTTCGTGGAGAATCTTTGACCAAAGGAACAATTCGGAAGTTCATACACAATCACAAATCACATACCAAGCCTTGGCGAGTTTCAATCAAAGCACCAGCTCCTGCAGATGCAAAGTTGACACCGTACTTAAATTCCTCGTTGCCTGGCTCTAAGTACGGTGGAATCGATGGCAACTTTGCATACTCAGCTGCAAGTTGCAACACATAAAAAACAATTATTGACATTCAGTTAAGTTATCCATATCCAATAGCAATTCCCATTTCAGATATTTTTATGGAAACGTTCTTCTTGTCTCCAGACGATCAAGGAATGTATGGTCATAAAAATAGGTGACCATAAATTCTTGCTCGGTTAGTGACTAAGAGAACGAGAATATATTTATAAAATAAAATTAGATTCATATGATATATACTTGTGATCTTCTACATCTTACCAATAAAATCCTCCATGGCAACTTTGAATACTCAAATAAAATAAAATTAGATTCATATGATATATACTTGTGATCTTCTGCATCTTACCAATAAAATCTGGAATTATACGACCATCAGAAATTCTACCGGTAGGATGGCCCTTTTTGTAGGTTTCACCATATGGCCAGTAGTTTCCCTGAAAAACAGTGCTGAAGTAGTTGTTGTTTCCAGCATCAAATATGGAATCCCCGAATACGAAAAGGGGTACTGCAGGTGTATGCTTATTTGGAAGGCCGCATTCGCCATGGCTAGCTTGGGTTGTGATATCCAGAAGGCTTGTAAACAAGGCAAATGCAGAGATTTGAATATACAAGCTTGAACTGGCCATCTTTCTCTCTCTGTTTGATGCGTCTTCATTCTTCACGTTATATAAATAGATCGGGATCAAAAATATAATAAAATAATATATAGATAAATAGATCGGGATCAAAAGTATAATAAAATAATAGATAGATAGATAGATAGATAGATATATAGATAGATAGATAGATAGATATGTGTGTCTGTGTATATTTATATGTATGTCAGAGTTAGGATCGGGAAGTATTCCGAATTTGTTAGCCTGATTATTTGATTAACCATGAATATGTAAATATAATATGCACTTGCGTGTTTTTAAGAAGTATTTTGAATTTGTTAGAGTTGCATTTTATGTCAATGATATAATTTTCATTAAAACTCTGAAGGAGCATGAGAAAATTGTCTCTTGTACCTGAAGTTGAAATTTGAGATGAAGATCTTGGAAAAACTCGTGCGTATGTTGATCAGAAGTTGAAGCATTGTTTTGACAGTATTTTAGTCCACCTGTCGAACTACACCAAAAAATGTTGCTTATATCCATGATCATCCATACGTTAGATGCAAATGAGACCCTTGAGAGGTTTTGGAACCTAGAGTTCCATATCTAAGTTCAATTAGCGCTTTATTGTGCTTAGCTTATTGCACAAGGCATGACATCTCCTTTGTTGTTGATTTGTTGACAAGTGCAAAATTAGGCTTACACACTGCCACTGAATTGGCATAAAAGATGTTTTTCCGCTATCCTGAAGGAAATACGGTTTCGAGCTTATCCCTATGCATTCTGAACAGATTCAACCCCTTGATCTTTGGAATGATGTTTGGCTTGTTTGTTATGTTTACATAGGTTCCTTATCAAACTACCACAAAGCATGTTCCTAAATGGTTATGTCTTTTCCTTTAGGGAGTACCACAATATCTTGGAGGTCAACCTAATAGACCTTAATTGCAACGTCTTTGAATCATGCCAAGCTTACACCATACTTGAGAGTTATGGTAGAAAGCTCTTGTTGAGCACATTCAAGGCATATGTGGATTTTCATCCCTCGTTGAGTCTTAATAACAATCCATGAAGATTATGCCGCTTATATTGACCAAGCTATCCAATATGCCAACACCAAGAGTATTACACCACCAAAGTTTTTCTTTATTAGCAGAGCATTAGAAGATTGAAGTCAAGCATATCTGATCCCAAGACAACCTTGTTGATCTTTACAAGAAGTCGATGTCGACGTATACCTGCCAGAAGCTTTCCAAGGTATTGGATTGCATAACGAAACGAGGTTTTGATGAGGCACCCACATCGGATTGGTCATACCTTGTGTGTGTTTTTCTACTACTTGATGTATACTGAAGATGTCAAGTATCGACATTGCACTAACTCACCATTTGTCTCTTTAGACTAGAGGTTTGTCCAACCGTGTTTACCTCAACCAGATTTTGGTGAGACTATCACCTTGTATGTATCCTTACTTTGAGACTCATGTATACGTCAGCCAGATTTTGGTGTGTTTACATCAACTAGTTTTTCTACTACTATCTTTTAATGATGAAAACATGATGCAAATACTTTTTAAGTTCTACACACTCAAGGGAGAGTGCGGTAACTAGTGTGATTGTTTAGACTTAAAATAGGAATTCTACAGGATCTAGAAGATTCTTTCTAAGGGTGGGCACGGGCCGGGCTGGGCACAAATTTGGAGGGACCGGACCAGACCTGCTTAAAAAGAAAACGGGACGGGCCGGGCCGGGCATTGCAAATATGATAACTGGAACCGGACCTAATCCGACCCATTTGAAACGGGTCCTCTGTTTTTTTTTTCCCCACTCAAACCCTTTGTTGCCAGCGCTGCAGTCTGATTCCCTTGCTTGTCGACTTTTGAGTAAGATGACGACGGCAGCGGCGACGATGATGATGGATGATCGGACCACGATGATGGGGACGACGCTGAGTTTTAAACCGGCAGAGACACCACACAACACCTGCTCGCCATTCAATCCACCATCATAGAAAACCCCTAAATTAGAACCCTAGGCCCTAAAACAACACAACAAATGACATGCCCCAACCTCGAAATCACAACACATCAAGAATAACCCATAAAATCTTAGATAGAAAAGAGGTAGCCTTACCTGAATTCTAAGTAGAGCTTAAAGCTCTCAGACTCCATGGAAGAACACCTCACAGTGCTCCAATAGTGCATGCAAAACCACCATATAATTCCTTGTGTCCCATAAGTCTTGAAAGTAGAAGTTTGGGGGTTTGATTTGGACAAAAATGGCATGGGTGATGGTGGTCTCCTTCTCGAAGCTTAGAGAGAGAGTTCGAATGTTACAGAGAGAAAATGAGGCTGCTTACAGACATGAGGGAAAAAAGGTGTGGGTCACTAGTGAGGGAAAGTTGCAAACAAGAGGGAAAAATGGTGTGGGTCACGGGTGAGGGAAAGTAACTTGACTTTGGGCCGAGTGAACAAACTACTAATAGTGAGAATAGGGAGAAACGGACCCAGCCGGGGCCCCGTTTTCTCAGGCTTTTGCACCCGCCCTGCCCCGATAATTTTGTGAACCCGCCCCGGCCCGCCTTGTTTTGTCTTTATAAATTTAAGACCTGCCCCGTACCTACCCCGAACTGCATAGAACCGGCTCACCCCGCGGGCCTAGGGCCCGTTTGCCCACCCCTAATTCTTTCCATATACAACTTGTATTACTTATAGGGCAAGTAAAACCCATCATAATTAGTATAAATACAAGCACTAAACATGCCACTTAGTACTACGGTCTAGTGGTATTACTTTTCACATGTAAGTGAAAGGTCTTAGCTTTTATTCTCGCCAAAGACGGATTTGAATCATATTATTGCTAGCACATTGTGAAACTTTAGCCCACTCCCGCACCCCCTTAGTATAGATAATATCCTTTGTTAAAAAAAAAACAAAATAAAAAAAAAAAACAAAACAAAACACTAAACATGAAGAATTATATACATAAAAGGGTAATGCTAGGAAGACCAAATTTTTAATCAAAATTTTGTAAATCAAATGATATGGTTATTGATGATTGAATTATTATTTAAGTATTGATTAATGTGCTTATTTTTTTTATTAGAGACACATCATTTAATTTGTAAATTACATCATTTAATTTGTAAATTTATTTTAAAAATTAATCTACCTAGCATTACCCTAAATAAAATTCCTCAACCCCTTCTCTCTTTTTCTTCTCTTTTATGGACCCTCTTTCTCTGCTCTCTCTCGTTTTACAACAATCACTTTTACCGTTGTTTCATGATTCAATTATAAAAGTGGTTGCATTATTATTAGACTTTTGTCCTCGTATGGCACAACATGAAACATGTAAAGCCATATGGTATCAGGTATCGAACCATATGGTAGCACACCACAATAATTTTAAGGCGTGTTTATGAACCCGTAATCGGAATAAGAATAAGATATTCGATTTCGATTACAAATTATACCTGTGTTTACTAAAATTGGAAGGAATCAAAAGTGCGTGGGACCCACTCAAAAAATGGAATTCAATTCTTGGGATTGGAGGAAATTGGACTCCCTTTATGGATGTGGTAATTGAATTATGAGAAGGTGAGGGAATCGGGAATGCATTTGCTCTTCCTATTATGCCCTGTTATCAATCTGCCGTTTAACCCAACAAATTAATCTCACGAGCTTGAATTTCGGTTTCGGTTGGGTGAGGGAATCGGAAAGCCGATACATTCAGGAAATCTGTTGTTCGCATACGAGATCTCGTCCCCGAACACCGGATCGTTGTCGTTCAGGAGGTAATGGATCATCCGCTTCGACATCGTCGACACGCACGCACAGACGTAGCTCCGGGACGATGACGTCAACGTTAGTATCTCACGAGCAGCTTCTCGCTTGTCGGCCCATCCTCCTCCGACATCACTTTGACGATCGTAACTCGAGGTCTAGGGCCAAATTGCTCGCGTGTCTGGTCTTAACGGCTCAGTGCTTTCTGTTTTTGGGTTTTTTCTTCTGCAAGGAGGAAGATGAATGTGACTTGGTTGTTTCTTTGGCTTTTAGCCTTTTACACAATTGTGGACATTTAACTTTTTAATTGAACTAAATAACTAAAAATAACTAGTTAAATGTTTTTAAAAATAAATATAGAATAAAATAAAACAAAAAGGGTATTTTAGTAATCATATTTATTATGATTCAACTGAATTAGTAAATAACTTCTATGAATTCAGTTTCATTCCTATTCCGATTCCTAAACATTTAAGTAAACAACTTCAACAAGAATCTGATTATGATTCCTCGTCATTTCAATTCCTCCTCAATTCAATTCATCCTCAATCTAATTCTCATATTTTGATTATTGTTACGTAAACGAGCCATTATTGTAGTCAAGGGGGCGATGCTCGAACTCAGTTCTAGCATCTTCACCCCTTACCCCCTTCGCTACATGGTTTGTAGTTGGTCAGTTGTTGCTTGCCTCAGTGTAGGCTTCCTGTACTATTGTGGCATCTTTGCCTTGGTAATGTTATTCCCAGTTTTCAAAAATAAAAAAAATAAAAAATAAAACATGGAAAGCCATTCAGTATTGAGTAATGTTAAGGAGACTAAATTTGGAGACAAAATTTACAAACTAAATGATATGTCACCAATAGGAATAAACATGTTTATCAACACTTAAGTAATAAACCAATCATCAATTTTCATGTCATTTGATTTTTAAAATTTAGTCTCCAAATTTAGTCTTCATTGCCCCTTCAATATTTAGTTGGAGTCGAACTTTATGATAGCACACCAAAAGCATATATTCCATTTATTCCCCATGTCAGCTACATACAAAAATTATGAATATAGAATAGTATATTAAGTTTCGACCAAAAGCATTGAAATTCTAACGTTCCCCTCCCAAAAAAAGGTTTCGAACAAAAGCTTTTAAATCTAGTCGGCTAAAGTAGTGTGCTACATTCTTTGCATTCGAGTTCAAATAGATACTATTCAAAATTTAATAGAAGGAGCAAGTTAGAGGCTTCGTTTGACCTCT